GGGGAAGGCTTTTGCGGGCTGCGTGCCACGGGAGCCTGGAGATCACACACTCGGGGCTCTGCCAGCCAACACGTGCAAGTGCAGAAGCAACAGGAGCTTATAAATCAAACCTTGCTCAGTGGGGTGCCAAATATTTACACACACTATCGCTCTCCTGAATAGGAATCAAATATCCACCAAATGCAGTGGAACAAAAGGGGTTATCTTAAATTCAGGCTGTTAGTAGCGCATAGGGCTAATAAATAATAGTGCCTCTGCGTAAAGATCTCCTTCAGGAAGGATTTGTAGGAGAAAAGGCAAAGGCTATGAAAGAATAAACAGCAACTAGCAGGGCCTTTCTGTATGCTATCTGATCATGGGCAAAGCAGTGCTGTCTACACGGTCATTGCTAGGTCTTTTCTCCAACCTTTTCCCCCAGTATCGTGATGCTGTTTCAGGAGGTGACCTTGCCTTTCAGGAGCAAGAGCTGTCCGATGGGGAGAACCGAAACCACACCAGACCTAGTGGGATTGACTTCAAGGTGCTCAGCTCTTGCCACCTCCAGGAGCTCTAGGGGAGCAGGTAGCAAGAGTCCCTCTCTCCCCTCACATGCCTGCAGACAGCTCTGCACCACCTACAAGTCCCCCAGAGCTGAAACAACCCCTCCATCCTCCCAGCAGGAAACTAGAAAGGCTCAGCTGGGCACCCCATGCCCCAGTGCACGTGGCTCCTTCTGGCCAAGGCAATCTTGGAGCATGGGGCTGGTAAAACCAGGAAAGAAAACCAGACAAAGGCAGGCTGAAGACATCCTGAAAGGGTGTTCCCCAGAGCGGGTGGAGTGGTTTCCTGCTCCCCGTGTCCGATCTGTGCTCACCCATCGCTGGCCCCTGAGCACAGCAGCGCTGGTCACCACCGGTACCTGAGCACGCTGCCACGCGGGAGCAGGAGCCTCTGGGAGCTGAGCTGCTAACTCGTGACAGGAGCTGGCTGCCCTGGAAAGTGCAACTCTGCTGCACAGATCCCCACTAGGCCAAGGAAATTCCTGCATAAAATGCCTTTGTGAAAGAAAAGATGACGATGTGAGACTTCAGGCTTACTCCAGCCAACACCTCCCTTTGTGAACCTCCCTCACTTATGCTCTTTTAAAAAGCCCCATGCAGCAGAAGCAGGCCATATGAAACCAGGCAAAATACCACCCTTTACATGTGCCTGTATCAGGGTGGAATGCGTCACTGGTGGCTGATAGCTATTCATGCTCTCCCCTATCAAATGGAAACAATTAATGAACTATTCAGCCTGCTGTACACTGGACATACCGACAAAGGAACTGAGCAGGGATGGGCAAACCTCAAACAATGCAGACGTCTGGATGCTTGTCTAGGACAAGCCCAACTTAACAGCTTTGGTCTGATGAGAGAAACTCGGATGGCGCGTCGCACTCAGCACTGGCACAGGGAAGAGTCGCCTCCCGAAGCCTTGAGGAACTTTGGGATCTCCTGGGTTATCCTCACACTTTGCATTTTCAGAGAATCACAGAAGTGCCACGTGGAAAAAGGGGGCTCTAGCTCCCTGCTCACTAGGAAAGCAAAGGCATGGAGGGTTACCATCCCCTGAGCAACGCCTCCCAGGCTGGGAGCTGTACGGGCTGGGTTAACACATTGGCATTTCCTGCCAATCCTACTTCCACTGACAGGGTCACAGCGCCTGTCATGTCAAGGGACTCCCAGCCACTTCCCAGGGCTGGAGGAGTGACGAGTGAGAGGAGCAGTCATCCAGGAGAGGCAAGAAAGAGATGTGAATATTATACAGAAGAAGGACTTCCCGCAACACACTCATACTTGAAGACGTTTCAGACTGTAAGTTGTGAGGGAGAGGTTAAGCAGGGCCTCTTCGCCCTGGATTTGGCATGTTCCTGAAACGTACAGAGGGGAAAATGCACCAGAAATAGTCCTCAGCCAGCAAAGCACGTTCAGATCTAAGCATGCACTTCAGTCCCACTGCATGTATCTGAGTCAGGGCTGGTATGATCTGGCGTTCGGTACAAAAGGATTTCAGTGATGTAGAGGCCATGTGAAGAGGTTTGAGGCATGCCTTCTGCTTCGCTCTGGGTCTATTTCTGGTCCCACAGCTGAGCTGTGGGAGGTTTGGCACCTCTCCCCCTTCCTCTAGGTAGATATGCACTGAGGTGGGTGTGCGCAACACTTTGGTACGGCGAGGCTGAGTGGCTCAGGCTCTGCCACATCATGCACGGAGCTCAGAGATGGCTAGGTGGGAAGAACAGTTCATACGCTCCTGAGATGCTGTCTGGGAGTTGCATCCTTTCCCTCATGACAACAGCGGAGACGGTCGTGGGCTAGCAGGGCGGCAGGCTCCGGGGATGAGAAATGGGCTGCTCCATCAGTGCCTTGGAAAAGGCTGAACGAAGGGCTCAGCGCGGCAATGGAAACCAGCGCGAACCCGGTGTGCGTGTTTGGCCCTGCTTCTGCACAGCTCTACCAACAGGCATCCTGCATCCCAGGCAGGCTAACCGAGCCCTCATTCTCAGCTAGAGATGCCTCTGGAGACCAGCCGGCTGACCAAATTTAGAAATGCAATGCTGGCCAGGAGCAGGAGATGTTGGGGGAAGCAACAGGAACCCCCTTCCTCCCAACCACTCCATCCTTCAGTCAGGATTCAGGTCCAGAGATAAGGAGAGAAAAAGGGTTATGTAGGCAGGGGCAAGGGAAAATGAGGGAGGGCTACCCCATTTTTTGTGTTTCAGTCTCCCCAGTGCCTGTCTGGGTCATGCCCCCAACTCCTAAGGTGGCTGCAAAGTGTCTCCCCAGGAGACAGAGAGTGCAGAGCAGGTTGTCTGAGCAAAAGTACGTTGCCAGAAATGCCACTGGGACAGACACAATGTACCATGACCTGGCCACTGCCCAGCTCTTGGAGATACCACCCTCTGCTCACAAAACCTCCCTGCCTCCGGCTCACCTCCCTGAGCGCAGCAAGCGGGTTCCCTCAGGGCCAGCATGCACCCTGAGCTCAGGGCAATGCCCAGGGCAACTAATCTCTAAAGCACCCACACAGAGGGTAGCAGCTCTTGTCTGATGGGTGCAACAGGAAAACAAGAGGGGAGGAAGGCCGCGGCTCTTTTGACAACAGCTGCCAGGAGCTGAAGGGTGGTGGGGAGAGGGTTGTGGGGATGAGCAGAAGAGAGCCTGCGGCCAAGGGTGCTTCAGCATCGTCCTGCTCGAGTCAATAATTCTGCGATGGGTCAGGTGGGAGCGTGTTGCTGTCTCCTTTCTCAGTGCTTTGATCTCCATGGCGACAAGGGGAACATGAGATCCAGGTTTAAAATATACTCTGCCTCCTGTTCTTCCCTCGGGCTGAGGAAGAGAGAGAGAGATGGGTCAAAGAGGTCCGTGACAGTGAGCGATGCTTTGCAGAGACACATCCCATGCGAGGACCTGGACCACAGCATTGCTTCTGGGATGGTGCCTCACAGCACCTAGATGTGACTTTGGTGCAACTGCAGGTGACAAGTCAGGATGCCCCAGGGTAACTTGGGGCTGTTGTGGACTAAAGCAGGAAGCAGGGATCAGGTTTGTCTTTTTCTTACACAGGTACTGGCAGGGAGTAACCCCATTGCCTGTATGGTACCTCTGCAGGCTGCCTCTCAGCCCATCTGTGAGAGGAAGTCAGCATCATTTTCCCCAGTCCTACCTGACTGCTGAAAGGCTGAGCCTCGGTAGCCCGGGTCCTTTTGAAGCTGGATCTCCTTCAGGGAGAAGATGGAGACATCTAGGCAGAGGGGACAGAGAGAGAGAAGCCAATCCAGCTGGCTGAGCCAGCAGCAGTCTGCAAACCCAGAGCCAAGACGGACCACACCATCCTGGCCCATCATACCCAAAACTCTGTTTCTTGCTCTCACAGTCCCCAGACCCCCACCCCACCGTGCTGCAGAAGCACTCACTTCCCCTGAGCGAACACGGACAAGAGGCATCCAAGGAGACCTAGCTGCAAAGCACCCCCCTTAGTTTGCAAAGAAGCTCTTTGCTCCACATCCCCCAGGCAACAGGACGGTGTACACACTTACTGTCAGGGAGGAGGTGTACCCGTTCCCCAAGGCTCTTGAAGTAAGCATGCCGCAGAGCTGCCTCCGCTGAAATCCGGCTTTTGGCTTCGTACTGCACAGAGCCCCAGAGAAAGGAAATCATGTACAGTGTGCATGTGTGAGAAGGCATTCAGTGGGCACAGAGGCCCTGCCCAGGGTGTGTGCACATCTGTACACCATGTGCACATCTGTTCACCTTTGTATGCGTAGGTTAAGTACTGTGCTCGGTGTGTGCCCAAGCAATTTCATATGCTACATGGGTGAGAATGTCACCCATGAAATTGCACCATGGGGGTGCGCAGGCAATTGGGGGTGCGCAGGCAATTGAGGGTGCCATCTGTACGTGCACAAGGAACTACATACGCTGTGTGGCCATGGGCATGCACCATCCAGGGCTCTGGTCAACCAGAGCATAAACTCACAAGGAGACAGATGCATGTCTCCAGAGGTTTGAATTCAGGGCAGGTCAGATGGTGGGAAAACAGGAGGTGGTTTGGGATAGCATCTGTGTGGCCATAACCATAGGACCATTGCTTATTCTGCGGTCACAGCCCCTCCTCTGCCTGGATCCAAAATCAGTGTGAGGGCAGCCAGGGTAGCTCACTTCAACAAATCCCATTGCCATCCACTCAGACTGCTCTAGCACTTACCAGAAGGAGGTTCATCAGCAAGTCAATGCCTTCTGAGTCCAGCCTGAGAGAAGGAAGAAATAAACAGTGAAGCATTATCACACTCCTGAGACATTGCAATAGTTAATGCAAGGGACCTCCAGTGCACAACTTCATTCAGGGGCTGCCAGCACTGCAATGCAGAAATGAAACTGGTCTCCTCAGGCTCCCATTTAAGACCAGCGCAAGCCTACCATGCCTTATGTGTCTCTGCTCAGTAAGGTACCTTGGGGCGTGATTTATTAACGGCTGGGCTCGGTACTGCGTGAAATTGTAAGCCTTAAACTCCTCGCTGGATGTTATTCCAGGCCAGGTATCTTCTGTTGGGGTTCCTGAGAGGGGGAGAGAGAAAAACCTGTCATGTTCATTTGGTCTAGAGAGAACAGCTTCATAGATGTAAGAACAGGTGCTAGTGTCCACCTCTCCCAAGGAGAAGGCAGGACAGAGAGCATGAACTTCATCAGCAGGTTTAGACTTGCTAGCACATCCTGTGGGGCAGCAGCCCTGAGAGCTCGGCTGGCTGCAAGCCTGGTGCGGGGATGTTGGGCAGCCTGGGTCCAGCTCTGCCCACCCCACCCCAGCCCATCCCGCTCTGCTTTGCCAACAGGCTCTGTCCAGACACCCGAGGTGGCTCTTTTTCACAATATCTGCAGTCAGCCACTGCCCTCAAGTGGGGATTTGGGAGACAGCAGAAAACTCACCCAGCAGCCTGAAGATTAAATGCAGCTCTTCTTTCACTGTGGAGCCAGGGAACATGGGCCGTCCAGTAACCATCTCATAGTGTATGCAGCCCACACCCCTAAAGAAGCAACAGAGCATTAGCGGGGGAGAAGCCCCATGAAGGTCCCATCGCCCCTTAGCAAGGGCTGGATGGGATTCTAGGGCCCCAGCTAACTGCTAGGGTGCCGGGTGACAGAAATCAGCTCCAAGAGCCACCTCCCTCCACTGTTACACATAACCATTTACCCCCTGCCTTGCGAAGTGTGCTCCCAAGATCTTGAGACCCATGGGACACAAAAAGCAGCATGGCATCTGGGACAGACAGACAACTCTATTTTAACTACCAACACAACACTGTCGGCACATAGGCTGCTGCACAGGCAGATGAAAGGCAATGCCCAACCCACTGTCTTGGAGACTCTGGGGATCTTAATTTGGAGGTTCACCTCTTCCCCGTCTTGTCCTGCAGACAGGCACTGTGGCTTACCACATATCGATGGGTGTGGAATATTCGGTAGATCCTAGCAGGACATCTGGGGGCCGGTACCACAGCGTGACCACCTCATTAGAATATGTTTTTGTAGGGACTGACTTCGCTCTGGCAAGTCCTGAGAATGAAATGGATGTGCATCAAGGAGCTATATCCAGCTGCACCTTGTTGCAATGCTGCATTCTCCCCAGAGAGGCAGAACAAGGCAGGCAAGGCCATAAAGCAAGTGGCTGTGCTCATGCAGAGATGCTTCAAACTCAGCTGGGTGGAGCATATAGCTGCCATGCAGATTCCAGCTTCAGAGCACATGCAACACTGCTGCAGGAGAGCTGTGTCCCAAGCTGCTTATGGGGGACCCCCACGTCCCTCCCGACTCCAGGGGAGCATGAAACTGCTGCCAGCTGCACACAGGCCTGCCCAAAGAGACCACAACTCCTCTGCCTCTCCCCTGCCCTACCTACCGAAGTCAGCCAGCTTGAGCTCTCCTCTTTCATTGATGAGGAGGTTCTGGGGTTTGAGGTCTCGGTGCAGGATCTTTCTTCCATGACAATAAGACAGGCCACGCAGCAGCTGGAACATGAAGATCTGCAGGCAGGAAGAAGGAACTGGCGCTTAGCATTGGGGTGCAGGCATCAAAAGTGAGCCTGTCTCAAGAACTGTAAAACTTGCGGACAGGTAAGGTGCTTGAAGTTGGCCTGGGATGAAATGCGTGGTAGACAAGTGTTCAAGCCCATGACCAACAATGCCGAAAAAGGGCTGAACAAAGTCTGCCCACACAGTAATTTTATTTAAGGTGGATTATTTTATTCAAATTTATTTAAGCTGTAGCTTAAGAAAAGCTGGTGGAACATCAGAGCCTGCTGAGAAAGGTCAAAGAAAGCTCTTGTGAAAGGAGGGCTGAAACGAAGAGAGAACGGGTATCTGAGCCTCATCCCAGCTCTGTGATGTCCTGGGACGCACTCGAGTGAGTTCCCTGCAGCTCCCACCTCTCCCTAGGCGAGAGGCAGGGGTACAGGTCCCAGTCTTACCTTCACATTGTGCATGCTCATCAGGCTCCCACAGTTATCCAGGTACTGTTTGAGGTCATTGCCTTGCTGGACAACCCTTCCCTGTACCCAAGCCCAGCTCTGTTTCAGTAGAAGAGTCCAGCCCACCCACAGGAGTGCAGCCTTCCCCCACTTCCCACAGTGAGCCCCCCAGACCCACCAGGTACTCGAAGACGAGGGTGAGGGAACGCTCTGTGTGGATGATGTCGTGCAAGGTCACGATGTTGGCATGCTTCAGGTTTTTCAGCAGGGACACTGGAAGGAAAGGAGATGGCAGGTTCAGGCAGCCAGGACCTCGGTGCATGCTGATTGCCCTCTGCACAACTGCAGATATAAATGGCCACCAACACCACCAGTCCCCATCAGCCTGTGACCTGGCGCTGCTCATTAGGTCTGTGATCTAATCTGAACCTTATCTGTAAAGCCCCTCCTGCCTCTCACCTTCCCGAATGGCTGTGCAAGGTGCCCCTTCCTCATGCTCCAGGCGGATCTCCTTCAGTGCAACAAGATTTTCTGTCAGCTTGCTGCGCCCCTTGAAGACAGTGGCATAAGTGCCCTGGGAGAGAGAGACAAAATACAGGTCATGAACACTGTTTATCAGGATGGCACAATGCTGATATAGTTCACACCATTTGCAGGAAGGATAATTTGAAGCTAAAGGGTCATGTCTGAAGTCCACAGAAAGACTTGGTCTAAAGAGTCCTAGATATTGAAGAAACTTTGCTGGAGTCTGTCCTTTGCACTTTAAGCTGTCCTTCTAACTTAAATTTAAATCTTTGCAGGGGTTCCAGACTCTCCTTACCTCTCCCAGTTTGTCCAGTTTAACATAGGTTTCCAGCTTCCCGAACCCGATATCTGACTGTAAGAGAAAAGGGAGAACATCACTGGGGGAGATCTCATCCAGGGAAGGCTTAACCACCTGGGGAAGGTCAAGTCAAGGACACTGGACAGTAATAGCTTTAGGGGCAGATAAATCAAGGCAGGTGTTTGCATGCAGCAGCCCAGCTGATCTAGGTATATAAAGTCTATTACTTTTATGGACAAGCAGTGCAGGCAACCAGACAATCAATCAGAAAGCCTTCACAACTGACTGCTTAAGGAAAACGGATGACACCTGCTTCCTATACCCCAGCACAGTGATAGCCACGGCTCTGTCCGCAGGGTGGCTGCAGCCTGAAAGATTGCTCCTTCCTGCTTCCATCCCTCTAATTCCCTTTTTGTTCTCCTCACTTATCCCTCTCACCCATCATCCCGACACACCACCGGCAGTGGCTCAGTCTAACATGAGCAGTGGTTTGTAAAGAGCTGATGACCTTTCTGTCAGAGAGACCTAGTGGGATCACACTGCCAATGCCCAGCCCTTTTCTTGAGTGGTTTTCTATGCATCAGTCTGCACTATAACTCAGTCCACTTCTCTGTATCCTGTTCAAATCAACCATGAAAGAGATATTTCCCTATTTGGAACAGTAACTCTTTAACATATTGCTGAGACCTGCCCTCGTATACCCAGTGAAAGAAAGGGCAAGCCCTGCGACACAGGAGATTTAGGTTTCACTCCTAGCAGATCCCTTAAATCACGTGTGGTCACAGGCTTTCTGGGGGGAGAGAGACACTTCCTCAATTAATCTGGATTATTCACGGGCCAGGGCACAGATTGGTTCCTAGCACAACTGCCTGCTGCCTGGGGCACCTCATTGCTCCTTTAGCATAAATAATAAACCTGTGTCATTCCTCCACAAACACGTTTGCGTCTGTGTAGTCCCGGGCACAGAGCCAGCTCTGATTCCAGCCTGGCCAAAGCCCTCCCAACCCGGTAGTGCTCCCTTACCCTTGAGCAAGTGCTCGTGCCATGCCGATCTCCAACAGTAGATGGTGCTGGATGGACAGCTGTCAATCAGCAGGGAGAGACACGGGGCTGGGCAGGGAAAGGGTTCCCCTAGGTGAGGCAACGACCCAGCCGCTGCACTGCATCCAGGGCTCTGGCATGGAGAACCAAGTGCCCCAGAGCCTGGGTGCTCTTGCAGCTCCCTCTGCTCACCAGCTCTGTCCCATGGAAAGGCTTTTTCCTTGCACCAGGCACCGATCAGATCACCAAGCTCTCACAAGCTGCCTAACGCAGGAGGAAAGCCTGTCTTCTAGCTCAGATTAGCTGGATTTAAACTAGCAAGTCCCAGGGGAACACAGTGTCATTTACTCCACTTTGAATCTCCCAAACACACAGCGTACCCCAGGAACACGTACGTCCTGAGCAGGGAAATGCGGGGTTGCTGCATTCTGAAGTCCTGTAAGCCTCATGACGCCATATGGCGAATTTTACAGGAGCATGCCTTATTCATTTAGGGAACCGTGAGTATTAACAGCACGTTGCTTTGGCCATGTCTATTTTATTCATTAGACAGAACGTGCAGACAAATGTGAGTTCTCGTTTCTCTACTCTCCCTCCCCCTGAATGGGCATAACAGATAGGAAGATGCCTGCTGAGACCTCTGCCTGGCAATTGTGCACCACTGAGCATTCCTGGGCAGCAGGACACGTGCTTGCACATTTATAAAGAGGGCACCAGGTTATTGCTGCCACATACACTGATGCTTTGCAGTAAAGAAACTGAAAAGCCAACATTAATGCAAAGGCTAATTCATTATTTATCAGCATTTGCATTTCAACTAGCAGAGGCTCCAGCACTTGCTAAACCACAAGAGGCTTTCCACCTCCTCCCCTTTTGAAGAAGCCAAACTGAGAGAGGAGAGGCGGGTATGTGTAGAGGTGAGTGAAGGAATGTGCAGGCCTGGGGATTTGCACAGCTGTGCGCAGATTTGCCTGTGTAGAAGTGACGCAGGGAAGAAGATGCACAGATATATATGTGCATGGAGTATATGGGAATATGTACCACTGGGTGTATGCAGAAGGGGATTTGCATGGGCAGGGGTGTATGTGTGTGTGTGTGTGTGTGTGTGTGTGCATGTGTGTGTGTGTGTGTGTGTGTACAATCTCAATGATATATGGGATACAAGGGAGTTTGCACAGGAGGGCATGGCTGCAGGAGTTGGTGGAAATAACACATACATCTGCTTGCTGGGACCTATATGCATGAAGCAAGATGCTGTGCCTGGAAGTGGTCGCTCTGTGCAGCGAGACTTACGAGGGAAGCCCGTCGGGACATCCTGCTGAGCGGCTTGGGGAACTCCGGGCTGTCCATCTGCAACTTCTGCAAGAACTCTGGGGGCAGGCGGATGTCCATGGGCAAGGAGAGACGCTTGCTGACATCCTGTGGAGAGGGCCAGGAGAGCTGGTGATGAAAGCACCTGATGAAAGGAGGACTGTACAGAGACATACAAGGAGCAGTGCCCTCTGACTACAGCCAGTATTAATGGAGAAGCAAAGGGGGCAGTGTCTGTGGGACCCTTGGTCATGGGAAGAGGGAAGGTGTGGGTGCATCCACATGCATGGGGATATGCCCTGGACTTTGTCAGGTACCAGCAGAAGTTGTGCCAAGTGCACCTGGGAGGAGGCCAGGGCTCATGTCTGAGACTCGGCCAGGTTCCCATGAATTGAGCTGGTGAAGACACCAGTTGTCTAACAGCCAGCAGGTATGTGATGACCAGAACTGCCAGGGTGCCCTTGCCACGTCCCTTCTGCCTTCTGCCTGCTCCAGCCTGCAGCAGTACTTGCCTCCATGGAGAAGCGGCGCTGGTTGTTGTTTCGGTAGCGCACAGCCATCGGGGACTGGCCTTCCACTTCGGAGGAGGAGATAGGGGTGGTGCCAGCTCGGAAATCCCTGCCCAGGTGTCCCAGCTGCAGGTGCCCTTGAGCCAGGTCTGAGGACAAAGAAAAAAGAGAGTGAGCTGGCTGGAGTGGCAGCAGAAAGCTGCCAAGGCCCAAAGCACTTGCTTTGAAGAAAGAGAGCACACGCAGAGCAGGGAGGTCTGGAGATGCCTGGACCCTGGGGTCATGCAAAAGTCCTTTTCCTTCTCTGCACCTAAGAGGCAGAGGGTATACCTGCTTTTGCTTCAGGCTCCTGGTGCACTGCCACCCACACAGCTTACAAACACATTTATCTAATCTGCTTCAGGAAGCACCAAAATAACAAACATCAGGGTGAGCACCCTCCTCCAAGGATGTGACCAACTCTCAGCAGAAAGTGTTTGAGATTAAAGGCTGCAGAGTCATTTAGTATAAAACAAAACACTCCAGGCTTTCCTGCCCCAACCTGCTGCACTTAGCCAGACACACAGCCCCGAGAAGCATAAAAACTCTCTTGAAAACCAAAGCAACTCAGAAAAATCTCTCTTCTCTTGGGACTCCAAGTGTGAAGCCTCATCAAGCCCATGAAACCCAGAAGGAGCAAGAAATCAGAACAAAATAAGCCATTGAACTCTCCCTGGTCTCCAGTTTGAGGCTTGCACTTAGACCTCCTCACTCTGCAATTACTGGCTGGTTGCTAGGAATATTCTGGCATGCAGCATCTCAGACAGCAGCTCAGCAAAACACTGAATGAGTTCAACACAGGTCACCCAGACCCCAGCAAAGTGGATTTCCCTAATTCACAGGCTGGCCATTTCCATGGGAGACATTCAGAGTGAGGCAGGACTAACCAGGTATGCTTCCCGTTCAAACACAGGCACCCTTCCTGGTGGCCATATAGCGCTCTCCCTTTCACTCTGAACTTTGTTAGCAAGGTCTGCAGCAGCCTCCAGGATCAAACAACCCTGTCACAAATCACTGGTGTCCTCCTTGCCCCTGGGTATCTCTGCAGTGAATTTGCCAGAGCAAAGAACAACATTGCAGCAGGCAAACTCCCCAGGGAAGACTGGCGATGCCCCAGACTGAGCCACTGAGTCCTGCCCCTTGCCTACCTGCTACCAAGCCCTTGCCATGGGCCGCGCAGAGACAACCTCCTGTTCTGTCTAACGTCCACTTCAGCGCGCTGATCCCAACCTGCTCAGGCAGCCAGCAATGATCTCATTGCTGAAGACTGGAGAGGGAGGGCTGGCTTTCACGGGGCAGTGAGCAGGGCAGGGACCTGGCTGCAGTTTGCCCATCTGATGAATGAGAGATGGCAGACAAATGACCTGGGAAAAGACATAGTTTCCCGCCATGGTCACTAGGGGAACAAGGGGACCAAGACAGTAGGGAAACAGGATGTTCTCTACAGATAGTCCACATCCAAGGATGGGTTCAGCCAATGCCACTGGGCCCGTGAGCATCTCAAACACTGCTGGGAGTATTTATATGGACAGGCAAAAGCAAGGCACGGAGACGCTCTTGCTCCCAGGACCACTGGGTGACCCGGGCTCTGTCTCTCTCCCAGCATCTGTCTATGCAGGAACAGCTAGGAAACTTAACCTGAATTAACTGCACGTATAAAATTAAAGTGCCTCAATTGAACTTGATCAAATCTTTTTAACTTGCTCATCTCCTAAGCAAATTATCTTAAACAAAAGGCCATTCAGCATCTGAATAACATTATTTATCACGGGATTGACTGTAATTCACCTAATCCACTTTAAAAGATAGCATGGGTGATTTTTTGCTGGTTCCTATAGGAACAAGCCCAAAGTCTTAGTAAAAGAGGCAGCATATCCCTGAAAGAAGCAAACCAGTAGCAATGTCTCTCTGAACCAGCCCGCCAGGTAGATGAGTGTCACTCTCTCTTCATCTACAAGAGCATCGGCTCTAAAGGCCAAAGGTGAGATGACAATCTCAGCATTCCAGCGGATGCAAAGGGAAATGGGGTATGCAAAATATGTGAACTATCACAGAATGGTAATAGACATAAAAATAGAGGAGACTTGCAGAGGTGGTAGAAAAGGGAGAGAAAGGGAGGACAGTGCAGACAATACCTGAAGAAGTGCAGATTTTCTCGTGGGGCAATGCTGAAAATGACAGCAAAGGAGGATTCACGATATGGGTAAGTGTGTTTACATCAGTTTTCCCCTGCCCCCCCCACTGATATCAAGGGGAGATTGCCAATGGACAGACAGAAGTCCTGCATGTACCATATTTGTTTGAATGGTGGTCACTAATGCAGGGCAACAGCCTCCCCATGGCAGCAGGTCCCCATCGAGTTTCATCAACACATTTCTATCAGTTCAGAATGGACAAGAAGGTTGGCTGCACTTCTCTCAAGAGCAAAATCTCAGCAGAAGAAAGAGGGGAAGAGGGAACATGGCTCCCTTTTGGGCACACATGGTAAATCCAAGCTGGAAATTGCTCTCTCCAGTGTTTTGGCTGCCCCGAGGCCAGACAGCGCAGGCTGCATGGGCCAGCCCAGTCCATCCTGCGTCCCCCACAAGGTGCACACAGAGCCCAGAAACAAACTGCGAATCCAGTCCCATGCAGATGCTCTTGCAGGGCTGGGGTGGGCCCACTGGGCTTTGAGTGGGCTGGGTGCTTGCAGGAGGTGACGTCAGGCTGGGGGTGAGCAAATGTGAGGGCCTGTTTGAGTCTGCTCTGCATTTCATGTGGATTACAGTGAGCCCTGACACTATGCAAATAATGAGGCTGCATGGGATATCAAAGCAAATTAAAGTGAGACCGCAGACACAGCAGCTGCCTTTGACGAACCTCCCACCTTTTTTATAAATACATTTAAACACTGCTTCTGCCAAAACAAGCTTTGATCTCCCAAGGAAAGGGGCCAGAACCCTTCACTGCTTGCCTGACTTATAACTTTTAATTACTTTGCTAAGTGTGAACTCTCCTCTCAAGGCTCTGTTATGCTCATAAGGCAGAGTTATGCTCAGATCTTGGATTATTCATCCTCCTTCCTCCCCCTATTCATCGCTTCTTTGTGGCCTCGCGTTCCAAAGGCCAGCTTTGGCTCTCATTTATGCCATTGCAAACCAGGAGTTATGCACGCTTTGCAGCTCATACACTAAGACCGTATTTGGCCTCAGAGGACAGCCCAGGCAGTAGCTGTGTTGGGACAAATCCTGGGGAGAGATATAAACTGTTGCTGAATGCCACTTGCTCTTATCAAAGCAAATGGAAGCTACCAAGACTTGATGCCTCTGAAAATCAGGTCTGGGGTATCTGGTACATGTGACTGGGGAAGCCCGAGAAGAAAGGAAAGAGCTCACTTGCCTGTAGCATGAACGTGAGGTCGGAGCAGCCATGGAGAAGGCACCTTATCTCCAAGAATGCGCTGCCGCCTCCTTGGAGGTGGCTGGTGCTGGCCAATGTCAGAGAACAGATACTGCACACAGCCCAGCCTGGGCGCTCCCTAACCCGGGAACTTTCTTCCACCTCTGCCTCCGCAGCTCAGCAGCACACGTGGCTGCAGAAACACTGCGCTGCCCATGGGAGCGAAGCTCAGCACAGCAGGGCACAGGAGCATCAGACACCCCTGATGCAGCGTGCCAGCGAATTAAGCTCTGACCACGTTCCTCTCCCCTCTCTGCATCCTCAGACTCTGCCAAGGTGACATTGCCTGGGACAGGAGGTGTCCAAACTGGAAAGCTGTTTGCTTTTCCACTTGCCAGCTCTGCTTCTTTCAAGCTCGGCTTTATCGGCCTCTGTGTCTGGAAGTGAGGTCATGAGATTATAGGATGGGGAGGGCAGACCTGGGGATTTCCCACCACAGCACCTAGCACAAACCAGGCAGGTTTCTACCCACAAGAAGGCCGTGCCTTGTCCGACCGCCAGAGTCAGAGCAGCTCTCTGCATGCTGCTAGAGCATCTCATGAGCAGGTTGTCTGGCCCCTTTATCATCCTCCCCTTGAGGATCCTGAGTGCAGGCAGAGGCACTCAGAAGCCACCTAAGGGCAGGATTTGCAGACTGTCAGGGAACCTACGAATTCTGATAACCTGTGATTTCTGATGCTGGGAGGTGGGGAATAAAAACTGCAAGTGATTCCCTGAAGAGCTGTGTGAGGTGATGAAACAAAAATGATTTCATCTCCACTGTGATTACTGCTCTTTTCTAGTGCAAGTGATCACACTGCCTGTGCTGTCACCGGGCACTGTTCACCTGGAGAGCAATGACCACTACAGGCAAGCCTGTCTGCCATGCAGATAGGGAGAGGTAGCCCTAGGGGCACGTTCAGAGATCCAGAACAAGGAAGATGAAACCTGAAGCAAAGCTTTTCCCTGTATCATGCAGGAGAGAAGCGCAAGAGTGATTACCATGGCTTTAGTCTCAGCTCTGCTACCAGCTTCCTGCATGACCTTAGCAAACTCATTCTGCCTCTCTGCACCTTGATCTATCTGTAAAATGCAGGAGACCAATACCTCCGATAGCTCCTGCTTCCCTAAAGTCAGACCCTTCTCCAGACCAGGCAGCTCCCAAGACATCCAGTCCTCACAACCAACCCCTGAAGAAGAGGAACTTGCACACTAAGCCCCATTCTCGTCCCCTTCAGCATCACCAAATTGATCTTGTCCCCCAAAACATCCTACGTATCACCCTCCCAAACCATCCCCAAATGCCTCCTCGCTCCAGGGTGCCGGGGCTCGTGCCCCCACACAGCTCTGCACTCGGGCCTCCAGCTTGCCTCTGCTGAGCCCCTGCCAAAGCCTCTTGGCACAAGGCTGCAGGTGAAGAGCTCCCAGCAGCAAGGGGTTTATTAACGGCTGAAGAGATGCCTCAGACAAATGTGGCTGTCAGGGATCTTCATAAACAACAGCCACAGTCTGCAGGAGACAGAGATTAAGGGTGCTGTGGAGGTGACTTCTCAGGCTTGTTTACAACCCGAGCGAATCTTAATCAAGAGATCTCTGGCTGGAAGGAGCGGGCTCAGGGCGGGTGATGGAGGAAGCCTGTCAGGGCAGTGGGCACAGTGGGGGCAGCATGTTTTGCCTGTGTCGCGTGGGAAAAGCCTTGGGTGCAAACAGGGAACTGTGCACCCGGGAGCATGGGGCACCACAGAGAGAAAAATTTGGCACAGCACCAGGATGTGCTGCGTCCAAGTGAGGAAACGGTGCGAGGCTGGCACCTCGCAGTCCCATAGTGGGTCCTCAGGGACGTGAGGAACCGTGCCCCACGGGGTGCTGCTGATATACCCCGAGCCCAGGGCCAGCTCCTGATGCGTTCCTGCGTCCAGGCAGGACTATCCCCTGATCGCTACCATGTCACTGCCTAGTACTGGTCTCATCTCTAACCACCGGGGTCAGTTTCTTTCCTGACTACCTTAGGAGGAGCGAGACCAAATGATGGGGCATAGGCAGATGCTGCCTGTACTAGTTTGCCTTTCAAGGGCAAAGGAAGTACCATGACTGAAGCCTCATTACAGCAGAAGAACGAGGAAATTGCTTTCCCAACAGAGCCTTGGTTTGCACAGTGGAGATAACAAGCCCAGGCTGAGACACCCCAGAGACGAAGTGCCCCAAGGAAGGCAGCAGCAGCTGCAGCCATCAGTGCCCAGGACTTTCTTAGCCTTGCACCATTTTATCGCCACATCTTCCATGCATCTAATTAAGGACTCAAGTCAAATTATAGCCCTGTCTGCTTGCTGGGGTGTGAGGGGAGGCATACATTTGTGGGAACAGAGCAACACCTCCTTTGCCAGGTACTGAGACTCACTGTGAGGACACAGGTGTCAGAGCAGGGAAGGAGGTTGTAAATGGATGCTGTTCAGGGCACCCTGGGTGTGCAGAGGGAGACGAGAAGTGTGTCAAGAGCTGCGGGAGTGAGGAAAGCCAGCTCTAAATTAGGTTACTGCATCTCTTCTTTCAAGCAGACAGAGAGATGATCGCTCCCTGCCAGGGCAGATGCGAGTGCCAGGCAATTACATCACAGCCTCAGCCTCTGCTCGCAGCAAAAGTTTCTAGCAATTATGGCTGCAGGGAGAGGGGAAAAAGCTTGAACGTGACCTGAATGGAGCTGAGGGCACCAACACATGAACAGGCTAGCCTGTGGCAAAGCAAGCTGTTCTCGTAGGAGGCAGCAGCAAACACATGACACAATTGCCAGGAGCAGTGTAGCCTTGCAGCCGCAGCAGCAAATGTACCTCGGGATGAATCAAGTCCAACTTTATCAGGTTTCCAAACGCCTGTCTGTCAGTGGTTCCGCCTGCTTGTCCATGCACGGCCGCCTCGGTGCGATCTGCGCCCAGTTTATGCCTCAAGCATTGCCTCTCCCTTCGTATGCCCAGAGACAGCAGAGCCTGCCCCAGCCTGCAGCGTGAGGCCGCTGCTCTGTTTGCAGAAGACAGTGCCCTGCTCAGCTCACAGGGGTGTTAACCCTGAAGGGCCCTGCTCCGTAGGGCCTTGCAAACCGCACCCCAGGAGAAGGCTGCAGGTCTGGAGGAAGGGCTGGTTCAGAGAGCCCCAAACGCTCCCCTGAACAGACAGCAGGGCCCTGCGGCGCTGGTGGGAGGTGCCGCCTGTGCCCCTGGAGGGAAGGCTCAAGCATCATTGTCACTTTTGTGCAGGCAGAAGGCGATCTCACACTTTCACACCCTCTGCCTTAACCACAGATGTGTTATTCCTCTATTTTTGCAAATACCTTTCCCTCCCATAACACTTTCCCTAAATCTCTCTTCAGATCAGATTTAATGACAAGGTGTTATTCATCCTGCCGCATAGATGGGAAAGCAACACAGACAAAGGGGCAGCAACTTTCCACGAGTCACACACCCCCAGCGGAAGGCCACTGGGATTGGAGATATTTGCTGACGGCACGGGCTCCGGCTGCCCCTGGCCAGCCCTAGCACCGCTGCAGGGGCCTGGGGGCTCCCTACCTTCATTCCTCCGGTTGTTGAGCTGGTTGAACTGCTCTGTGAACTCTGTCAGTGACTCCTCAATGGTCTCTGTCCGAGGAACTGAGAGAGAAAACCTCCGCTTGAAGTTTTTCATCTTGTTCATTTTACCTTGTGCTGCAAGAGATGGCAGAGCCCTGGAAGAAAGGGAGAAAAATAGGCTGAGATGCTTGGACGGTGTGTGGGACAACCTCACTATTCCCGACAGCTCCTGCTCTCTGGAGCTGGCAGCACCCAGACCCAAATTTCACCCACTGGGAATCTGCAGGGTATCCTCAGCGACATCCTCTTCAAGGTCCTGCTGCTGCATCAGAGCAAAAGAGGAGCCTCAGGGTCACCAAGGGAATCAGGTTCTTCATGTTTTTGTGAGCTGACCACAGTCAAGAGGTGCACAGGGCCTTTTCTGAGTTATCAGAGATGGGCCCAGGGCAGAGTTATGGACACTGAATCATAACTACCAGCATAGACTGTGCCTTACAGCATCCTTGGAAACTTCAGGAATGGCTGCAAAAATGGAAGATGGAGCAGAACCAAAAGAAAAGCAAGAAAGAATAAGCAGAAAAGATTCAATACAACACTCCTCCTTGTACAAGAAGGCACCTCTGCCCTGGCAGGTGGGTCTCTCTGCTTTGCCCTTGCAAGAAAGACTTTCTGAGCCACCAGCAACGTACTGAGAGGAGCAATCGACCAGGAGGAGATCCCCGAGGGCTACAACAAGGGTTGACGCTGAGAGCTCACGGTTTGCTTACAGGCCCTTGACTGACTCAGATCCCATACTAGCACTGGAATCGTCTTAGCCAGAGATCTGATTAAAGCAATAAAACCCTTAAACAAAGAAAACCCTCAAGGGACAAACGGCAAAGCGTGCTGCGTCTGAGCAGCCACACGAACAGGCTGAGGGAGCCCACCCCAGGCATCGCAGAGCCACAGGCCACCTCGCCTTCCCTCACTTTGGCTCTTGCCATGCCTGGCTCCAGCTCGACCGCGCTGGGCACAGGAGCTGTTTGTGCACGGTTTGGTGTCCAGAACTGGCCTTGCAGCACTCGGTGTTATTCCTTCTGCTGAGACAAACCTAGCGAATGGCCAGCACTCCCCGCTCCCCGGGGTATGCGGACCTCCGTGTGGCCCCCTAAAGCACTGGGCTGTGCTGTGTGCTCCCCTGCAGACTGGGGGT